TTATGTATACTGAGCAGTAACTCCAGAATCAAAATGTTGCAGCTAACTAGAGCTACCCTAGACCACACCAATATTTGCCATTATATTACTCTAGGAGCTGGTATAAATCAACTTCTAAAGGGTATAGAAAATAAATTATGCAATTTTAATTATGACGACTACTGTATTTTGTTTATAGGTGACGCGGACTTTAAAGAAAGTTACAAGTACTCTGAGCTAATTGAACATATTCGAAATAAGTTGCTAAATGTACAACATACAAATATAGTAATTTGTTTGCCCACTTACAGATCTACTAGTTATGCAAATTTATACAATAAACGAGTATAAATATTTAATAATTTACTGTATCGTGATAATAAGTACTATGAATATGCCTACTTATTAGATAGCAACAAAAAATTGGAATACTGTACAAAAATGTATACAAGGGGCGGCTTAGTGAGTAATTATGGGTATAAAATTATTATCGAAAATCTGAACGAATTAATTAGTGAAATCACGCATTATTATTATTTATATAGCTTGAAAAAACCAATCCTAAACGAACCTAGTACTACAAGTCCGCATAGTTTAAACCTGTCTTGTACGTGCCAAAATAAAAACTTTTTTCGTTAAGGATACAAAAAGTAACGGCATAAAATTAATGCATCAAAATATAGCCGGTTACGTCTCCAAAAAATCATTGCTTGATGTCACAATTTCCGAGTTACACTCAATTAAAAAGGGCCCTGACACTATCTGTTTATCAGAGACTATGGTTAAAGTTGGAAATGAAAGTCGTATAACTGTAACTGGTTATGACTTAGCAGCGACTTATTGCAGACAAAACATGAAAAGTAGGGGTGGAACATGTATTTTAATAAACAAAAAACTAAAATTTCAAAAGATTGAAGATTTGAAAAGCTATGCTCAGGATGCAACATTTGAATGCTACGGTGGTATGTTACTATCACACAATATTTACATCCTATGTGTGTATAGGTCGCCCAAATCAAATATAAACATATTTTTATCAAAATTAGAAGAAGTATTACATAAATACACAAAACAATCAAAAAGTAAGATTATTTTGGCTGGAGATCTTAATATCAACACCCTAGCGACAAAATTGTCAAAAAATGTTAGAATCTTTTTGGACATACTAAAAAATTACAATTTGACATTACATATTACTGAACCGACTAGACTTCATACTTGCATTGACCATTTACTTAGTAATATTGACGACGCTACTGCTGAATTACAACATTTATATCTGTCTGACCACAACACGGCTCAAATGTTATATATTCCAGTTATTAAAAAAATTGAGCAGACGACGGAATACTTTATAAAGATCAGAGACTATTGCAGCCAAAATTTAAATAGATTTCAAAACTGTCTGAAAGAGCTGTCCTTTTGGGAGACATTAAAAGAGCGCGATTTAAATAGAGCCATGCAATATTTCCATGAAACCTTAAGTTTTTTGTATAATCTCAATTTTCCTGTTAAAATAATCAAAGTATCCAACAAATATAAAAAACCAAAATGGATCACCAAAGGTATCAGGAAAAGTTGTAAAAGTAAAAGAATACTGCGTTACCAATACTACGCCGAAAAATCGAAAGTTAAAAAACAAAAATATAGGTTATACTCCAAAATTCTGCGCAAAAGTATAAACTTAGCTCAAAAGTTGCACAACGACAAACTCATGAGAAACTCAAAAAACAAAGCAAAAGCTTCTTGGAAAATCGTTAAAAAAGAACTGAATGCTATTAGTAGTGACCAATTTATAAAAGAAATAGTAGTAAATAATGCTATTATAAGTGACCCTATCTCTATAGCGAACGAATTTAACAATTATTTGATCAACTTAACAAATTCAAGTAAAAAAGTTACTAAAAACACGAACAAAAATACTTTGGCAAATAGTATTTATTTACAGCCCGTACAACCAACGGAAATACAGAACATAGTAAGATCACTGAGCAATACAAACTCAACTGGGTACGATGGCATATCAACGAAAGTTTTAAAATATTGTGCTAATGAACTAAGTGCGCCACTTACATATTTAGTTAACCTTTCGTTCGAACATGGTACTTTTCCAGAACTACTTAAAATATCAATTGTTAAGCCTCTCCATAAAAAGGGCACGAAAACTGACATGACTAATTATCGTCCTATCACATTAGTCCCTGTGCTTTCAAAAATTTTTGAGAAAGCAATGAAAAAAAGGCTGCTGGATTTTGCTTCCAAAAACCACATAATTAAACCAGAACAGTTTGGATTTCAGCAAAATAAATCTACTTCGTTAGCAGTTTTCCACTTAGTGCAGGAAATAGTTGAGAATGTAAACAAAGGTATACCAACAACTAGTATATTTTTTGATATGACTCGCGCCTTTGATTTCATGTCCCATGATTTACTTCTCCAAAAGTTAGGTAATCTTGGAATTAGAGGACTAGCACTTGACTGGTTAACCTCATTTTTAAGTAATAGGAGTCAGGCGGTAGAAATCAGTTCGCTAGATAGTAATTTTCACGTAGTTTCAAATGGATCGTTATATAGAGTAAATGCATGTGGTGTGCCGCAAGGTAGCGTTCTCGGACCAATTTTATTTCTACTCTACATTAACGACCTACCTGACATAACACAACACAGATGTGTATTATTTGCAGATGACATATCTATAACGATACCATATAAGGACAATAAAGTAAACTACGAAACGGACATTAATAATACAATTGCATTAATTAATTATGCAATTAATTGGTGGATTGGCTCAATAGTAATAACTTGACATTGAACTTTAGTAAAACAAACTTCATTCAATTTGGGACTATCAGACATAATAAGTTAGAACTGAACATTAATTACAAAGGACAAATCTTACAAGAATTAGAACACACAAAATTTTTAGGTGTAATGATTGACGATAAATTTGAATGGAAGCTACATGTTGATACAATACGGAATAATCTGCATCGCTATGTTTATGTTTTAAGAAGGCTACGTAATACTTCTACTTTATCTACAACTTTAGAGGCATTATCATGGCTACGTAGCATCCTTACTTCGATATGGATTGGTTGTATGGGGGAATTCAACGGATGTGAATAAATTATTTGTAGCGCAAAAAAAATGCGTCAGGGCAATGTGCGGTTTAGGACCCCGACAATCATGTAAACCTGTATTCAAATCGCTTAACATCTTACCGCTGCCCTGCATGTACATATTTGAAGCGTCTAAATTTGTGAAGTACAATAGTAAGCTCTTTAAAAAGACTCGAGACGTTCATAACTGAAATATAAGGAACCTTGACAGGTTAGTGTGTAAAAGTAATACCAAATTAAGTTATTACCAGCGACAATGCGGGGCCATGTGTGAAAAGATATATAACGCTTTACCATCAGACATGAAATTGATAAATAATAATCTTATGTTCAAACGTAAGTTAATGTCGTGGCTAAGAAACAAAAATTTCTACTCAATTAAAGACTTATTTGATACTAATTTTAATAATCTGACTACTTAATTTAAGTTAATTTAATTTGTTGACATACCAAAACTTACTTTTTATAATAAATGTTAATAAGTATGTGAGTAATTGCTATTAGAATTGTTAAATTATAAAATATAGATGATAATGTATTATTTGCATGCCAAATTTTTGGTGAAATATGAGGACTTCTATTATTATGTATTATGTGTACCACATTGTAAACCATATTTAAGGCAAATAAAATTTCATTTCATTTCATTTCATTTCATTTCATTTCATTTCATTTCATTTTTGTACATTTTTATGAGATACATCCTGGTCAATTTCCGCGGGAAGTAAAAAATGTTCGAAATTCAAATAAACAAGATCGCCGCCATACAAATTTCAAAGTCTCCTATGACGGAAACTATTAGAGATAGGTAGGAGGTGCTCGAAGGAATGTCATAGAGGGTAACACTGGTTAAAAAAAATTCAAGATGGCGATTTCAAAATGGCGACCTAAGAAAAACTTGCTTCGATTCGGCTTGAAATTGGCATGCGAGGGTCTTTAGGAGTCCTTAATCATAATTTGGGGTCAAAAATTTCTTTTCACCATTTTTCAATATGGCTACCATACAAACTTTTTTGGCGATAGGTACAAATTTCTTCTAATTCGACTGAAAATGACATGGCATCATAATTTGGGGTAAAAATTTTGTTTTCGCTGTTTTTCGATATAGCCGTAATTTATTTATGTAACTTTCTTACCTCGGACTGAAAATTAGCACGAAAAGATTTCTAAGATTGTTTGATAATAATTTTAATAAAAAATTAAAAAGTTTAAAAAGTTAAGGCAGCTCCTTTCTTTTATTTTATTCCATCGTCTAAGATATCGGCTAACTGTTCTTTGCTATCAATGTACACACGCCAGCATATCAAGCTACACATTGACGTATCTTGTTCCGTTGCACTGGAGGCAATTTTCGAACAAAAATATATAGTCTGGTGTGCCGTTATCGGTACTTCACAACGACAGCTCCTTTATATACTTGTTCTCGGATATAATTGTGCCTGATATCTATGTGCTTAAGACAATTTGAGTCTAAACTCTCAGCTATTTTAATTGCACACTGATTATCCTCGTACAAAATTGTGCTAGGCATTTTATTATTTATGAATGTATGTTCTAATATTAAAGTAACGGGACTTACTCGCGTAGTATTTTAGTCGGAAGCGTTCCGACTAGTTTCGACCATAATCGATGGTCTTCTTCAGGGGTTGAGTGCAACGTTCGCGATCGCGTCACGTCTAGCACTGCGCGCTGCGGCTCTCTGCGCGCGCGCCGATGATGCAGTCCGCAATGGGAAACTCGCGAGGCTGATACGTTGCGACAGCGCGTCCTGGAACTCTTCTTCGCTACTGCTGTCCGTAGGATTGTTGTCGGGAACAGTCCAGCACATAAACCTCACCACATCTTTACCACTAACATCTGCAGCTGCACACCGAGTGCCATGAAGACACGGCTTCCAGGTCAATGGTAAGCTCCAGCCTCCGTCCTATTAAAATTTGGTCGCCTACTTATTTCAATAGCCTCTCGGATTTTGCGGGGCACAAAATACTTCTCGCGCGCTAAAACCTTAGCTTTATCAAACCTAATGTAGTGACCAGCACCGGAGCTCAGAAAGTGGTCTGCCACCGCAGATCCATTGACATCTTGGTTCTTCATGGATCGGATATGCTCAGCTAGCCTAGTAGCCACGTCCCGTCTCGTTTCGCCGACGTAACACTTGCCGCAGTCACAGGGAACCATATAAACACCGGGGACCCCCAGAGGGTCTCTGTCCTTTGGAGAGCGAAGCAATTGTCGCAGCTGTGTGAGAGGACGGAATATTGTGTTGATGCTGTACCTTCGGCGTAACAAGTTTCCAATCACATCCGTCACCCCCCTGACATAAGGTAAGTACGCTACCACTCTCTCTGCCGATTCTGGTCGAGGCCTCGTTGATGCATTTGCCACACGCCAACTCTGTTTCCACTTGTAACCGTTACCAACCAACACATCCTTCACATGATTTAGCTCAACATCTATGTAATCCGGGTCGCAAAGTTTCAAAACTCTATTAATGTGCGTCCGCGGAACTGAGGCTAAATGTGCCGGGTAGTGATGTGAACCCGCTCTCAGGTATCTATCCGTGTGCGTTGGTTTCCGATACACCGTATGAGACAACCAACCGTTATGTTCACGTATCACCAGCGCAGTATCAGCGCAGTATGGAATGGTTTGAGGATACAGCGTTGGTGAACATTCCATTCGCACCGAGATACTGGTGGCGCTATGTAGATGACGTATTTGCCATTATGCCTAAAGAGGAATTAGAGTCGCTATTGGCACACTTAAACAGCGTTCACCCGAAGATCACCTTCGCCATGGAATGTGAGCAGATAGGGGTTCTTCCTTTCTTGGATGTGTTGGTGAGACGTGAACATAACGGTCGGTTGTCTCATGCGGTGTATCGGAAACGGATAGCACGCAACGCACACGGATAGGTACCTGAGAGATCCATTGGTTACCATTGTAACTTCTAACTTAATACAGTCAATACTTTTTATCGGTAGCATCGATCCGTCGCCTATTTTAACAGTTTTATTCTTTTCAGCAGTTAATTCAATGAACATGTCCTGATGTCCCAAAGTCCATAATCCACTCAACTAGGTTGTTATCCGTTGTTCCAACAAATGCGTTAGCTTCTTGACAATTATATGTGCTTCTGTGTTCTTAAGCGCGACCTCGGTTGACCTCTATTTGCAAATTTGTGTAATTTGAATTTACACTCATTCGCAAAATGGCCGAGCTTTCCACAATAATGACATTTTACGCTAGCTTTGCAATACCTTGTTTCGTGACCAGATCGGTTGCATTTTTGGCCAGTAATGGAAACTCTACATGTTACGTGCTTGCAAAGCATGAGACCGCATTGCTAGCTCTTGCGTTGGTTCATCTTCTTTTGGGCTGTGTTCTTCAAGAAGCAGACACGACGTGAGTTCATTCAAAGTTTGATTTTCTTGGGGTACCGATTCCCATGTAGTGACAAAATAATTGTAGGCCGCAGGGCCCACAGGTAGTGAAGTTATTACTTTTGTTATCATAGTCTCAGATATATTTTGTTTTCTGCAAGATTGTTGCGTATTTCCTCAAGCTTTGCGACAAACATACCTTCTTCTTCATATCTGGTATAGAAAAATGTCTGCTGTAGTAAATGAGTATTTAAATTCGTTTTATCACTGCATCATGTATCATGTGTGGTATCAATCAACATAGAAATATTGTATAGAAATCATCAGCCGTAGATCTCCTTGTGTAAGAGTTCGTCCAGGGAAGTACTGCCAC